GGATGAAAGATATCTGGAAAACCAAAACTTCCAAAATCAGTTTTCTGGATTCCGTTATAAACATTTTATAAACAAGTTCATCTGATAGAGAAAATCTATTGATGTCCTCGAGCTCTTCACGAAATATCTTTAGCGAACTGTACTCGTTCTATGAAAGGCCACAATGTGTAATACATAGTGAATTCATATAAATTTTCATAAAATAGAAAACAACATTTTAGGCTTTTCGCACAATGATTGTCGTTCGCTGAAGTTAGGCCGTGGAGAATTCAGAAAGATCAAAGTATTTTCTCTATCAGATGAACTTCTAGGCAAAACGTTTTAAATAGAACATAGAAAAATGGTTTTTTTTAAGAGTCTTGATTTTTCAGAGACCAATCATCCAAACTTGCTATTTGGGAATTTGACAAATACCTCTCTTGAGAAGAAATCGTTTCAGCTAATCAAATTTTTTCTCCAATTTATTCAAATTGTTACCATTAAAGAGAAAAAAGTCAAACATGCTTCGTTTCTAAACTTTTTGCCTCGAGCTTATATTCACGTATCATAACTGAATAACTATTTTCAAATAAAATTAATCTTAGTTGTCTAATATCAAGATTTTGAAATAAGCTGATAATTTTGCATGATTTTACTAAAATTTGAATATACATATGTAAAAACAAATTAACAATAAAAAATTATTTTCTGAAGTTAAAATTGAATATTTTCTTTTTTGTTTTTTTTTTGTTGCTAATTCATTAGTTACCGATGAAAAGTTAGCCTTGTAAATAATAAATGTTATATATACTTATGAGATTTGAGTAAAGCAATTTGTGATTGTTTACTTTCTTCATTTAATTTCTTATTTTCAATTAACGATTGTTTCTATAAATAGAAGTTTTTTGTTTTATTTTCTAAAATTTAATTTAAAAAAAAAAATAATCAAATCCTACTTGTTGTGGTACTTCCCAAAAATCTTGATCATCTTTCATTTCAGCTTCACGAGCTTCATCAAGTCGTTCAAATATAAATTCCTTATTACAATGATGATTCAACAATAATTTTCTCACACAATCAATACTATATAATGCAATTTTAATTTCATGTCCATGAAAATTTATTTTTCTATTATCATTTATTGATGTTATATATTTTTCTAAATTAGCACAAAGTACAGCATTAGTTAATGGTGTTATAATAACAGGTGAAAATTTATAAAGTAATGCCTAACGCAAAAAGAATATTTCAATAGAAAAACAAAAAATAATTTCAACATACAAATCGTTCAATAGTATTTTCAGATAATGGTGGATTAAATAGAGTACTAATAGAAAACCATGGCATCATTACCCAATTATTATAACGTGCAAAAATTAATTTTTTCGATGATAATAATGGTATATCAATTATTCGTACGCATGGTAAACGACAATTTGATTGATATTGTTGTTGTTCTTCATATTTTTTTCGTTGTTCTTCTTTTTGTTTTATTTGATTTGCTTTTATTTCTTCAGCTAAAAGTCTTCAATGAAAAAAATTCAATCAAAAACAAAAATATCTAGTTTGTTTTTTTTTTTTCTTTTACTTACTCGCCTTGAAGATTAAATTCATAAATAATTGCTAATAACGGTTCATGAGTAATCTGATCTAATTCTTCTGGCTACAAAAAAATAAAAATAAAAATAAAAATAAAATTTCATAAATATTTATTTTTGGCCAAAAATAAAACAAAAATTTACTTTCAATATTTTATAATCATCAATAGGTATAGCAATTTTATGATAAAGTAAAAAATCATTAACACATACAAATGTATCATGTGTTGTAACAAATAAATTTACAAAATATGAACCATTTGATGAACAATCAAGTACTTCAACTTCTGTTGGAACATTATCAATGACATTTCGAAACGTTTTGATGGCATCTGTAATGCTGGGTCAATATATAATCAATTAATGATCATATATAGAATATATTTTTAAAAAAAACAAATCATATTGTTTTTTTTTCTTTCTATCCAAACTTACATTCATTCCATAAGCCATTTTTTTCTGGTTTTGCTGGTGCTATACCAGCTAATCGACATGGTACACTACGAACACATTCTTGACGAAATGGTACAAGTATATGACGTAGATTTGAACGTGGTACACATTCTTGCCATGTACCTAAATCAACAAGAAGTAAACTACATTGATCTGTTTCAGGATGATATTCAAGTAATTGTGCACGATTCCAAACATCATTTTCAGTTTCATCTCGTGTTACACAACATAAATTAATACGTAGAGCTGCTTTTGATATAACAAGACGTTTAGCATCAAAACAACGATTGTAAAATTCACTAAAAAAATACATATGATAAAATATGATTATTAGA